TCATACAAATATCATTGTAAATATTTTCTCCCATTCAGTGGGTTGCCTCTTTACTTTGTTGAGTGTTTCCTTTGCTGTGTAGAAACTTCTTAGCTTGATGTAATCCCTTTTATTTGTTTTTGTTTTTATTTCCTGTGCTTCTGGGGTCTTATCCAAGAAATTTTTGCCTATGCCAGTGTCTTGTTTTCATCTACTGGTTTCATGGCATCAAGTCATAGATTTAGATCCATTGTGAGTTGATTTTTTTAAAAGATTTATTTTATTTATTTGAAAGAGTTACAGAAAGAGGTAGAGATAGACAGACAGGTCTTCCATCTGCTGGTTCACTGCCCAGATGGTGGCAATGGCCAGAGCTGCGCCAATCCGGAGCCAAGAGCCAGGAGCTTCTTCCAGGTCTCTCACGTGGGTACAGGGGCCCAAGGACTTGGGCCATCTTCTACTGCTATCCCAGGCCATAGCAGAGAGCTGGATTGGAAGAGGAGCAGCCGGGACTAGAACCAGCGCCTATATGGAATGTCAGCGCTTCAGACCAGGGTGTTAACCCGCTGCGCCACAGCGCCAGCCCCATGAGTTGATTTTTATACAAGGTCTAAAGTAAGGGTCTTGTTTCATACTTCTTCATGCAGAGATCAAGTTTTCCCAACACTATTTGTTGAAGAGACTGTCTTTTCTCCAGGGCATGATTTTAGCTTGTTTGTCAAAGATTAGTTAGTTGTAGATGTGTAGATGAATTTCTGGGTTTTTAATCTATTCCATTTGTCCACATGTCTATTTTTGTGCCAGTAGCAGGGTGTTTTGATTACAACTATCCTGTAGTGTGTCTCCAAAATCTGGTTTTGTGATGCATCCAGCTTTGTTTTTGTTAAGATTGCTTTAGCTATTCAGGGTATCTTGTGTTTTCATATAAACTTTAAGGTCCTTTTTTTAAGATCTGAGAAGAATGTCCTTGGTATTTTGATTGGGATTGCATTGAATCTGTATATTGGTTTGAGTAGGATGGACATTTTGATGATACTAATTCTTTCAACCCACAAACATGGAAGATATTTCCATTTTTAAATGTCTTCTATTTCTTTACTTAATTTTTTATCATTTTCATTTTAGAGATTTTTTACATCCTTGGTTGAATATATCCTAAGATATTTAAATTCTTTGTAGCTGTTATGAATAGGAATGATTTTGTAAGTTCTTTCACAGACATGGCATTGTTTTTGTATAGGAAGGCAATTGATTTTGTGGCTAATTTTATATCCTGCCATTCTGCCAAATTCCCTTATGAATTCCAGTAGTCTCTTGGTGGAATATTTTGGTTCACCTGTATATAGGATCATATCATCTGAAACAGGGATAATTTGACTTCCTCCTTTCCCATTTGTATCCATTTGATTTCTTTTTCCTGCCTAATGACTCTGGCTAAAACCTACTGGACTATATTAAATAGTAGCGGCAAGAGCAGGCATCCTTGTCTAGCTCCTGATTAGTGGAGATGCTTCCAGTTTTTCACCATTCAATATGATGCTGACTGTGGGTTTCTCATGTATTTCCTTGATAGTTTTGAGGCATGTTCCTTCTGTATCCAATTTGTTTAAAGTTTTATCGTGAAAGATGTTGTATTTTATAAAATACTTTTCCTACATCTATTGGGATAATCATATGGTTTTTATTCTTTAATTTGTTAATGTGACCTATCACATTTATTAATTTGCATATGTTGAGCCATCTCTGCATGCCAGGGATAAATCCCACTTGGTCTGGGTGGATGATCCTTCTGATGTGTTGTTGGATTTGATTAGCTAGTATTTTGTTTGGAGATTTTTGCATCTATGTTCATCAGGGGTATTGATCTATAGTTCTCTTTCTTTGTTGTGTCTTTTTTCTAGTAAGAGAGCTATCTTTAGAAATATTTAGTTTTATAATTCCAGGTATTGCTAAATCTTAATATTTTCATTGTGACTAGACATATTTGTTAATAACAAAGTAAATAAAATTAGAAGCTGTTTTAAAATGTGGAATCCTTGAGTATGCTGATAACCAGTTTTAACTCTTATTCAATATGTTATTTGTCCTTTCATATTCATTATCACCCCTTGTTGGTAACTAATGAAAAGAGTGTCATTCACAAAACCAGGTTCAGCATTGGTTTTGTTTGTGTGATGTATGTGTCTTACTTTGGGCTTATCATCTTATCCTGGCATTAGATCAGTCACTGCCGGTCCTTGTTTTTGAATTGATTGAATTGTCTGAATTGATTCTTTAGTTGCTCTTCATTGTAGCCTGACTTTTAGATCTTCAGCAGTCTCCTTCACTGTTCCTGTGCTTAATGCTATTCAATCATGTGTTTTTGTTAAAATGAAAACTTTCTGATTGGATATACTGGTTTATTTTCAATGATCATTTTAGTCATTCATACCAAAAGTGTTGTTTATATCAGCAAAAATTGTAAATACCTTTATTAGATTTGTATAAAATTTTTTTCACAATAAAAAATGCATTTTAAAGCATTAAAGTCACTAATTTATAGTATTTCAATCTCCAAAGGCTAAAATTGTAGAAAAATTATGCTTTTAAAATCAAATTTAAATTTTCCATTTCCAGGCATTCTCATCTAGAATTTGACTTGGGACTAACTCCCAAGGAGCATAAATTTTTACTCATTGTTTTTGTTTATCACTTAATCTGAGACAGTTGAATTTTACTCTCATACTTTATGCATAGGAATACAAAAACTTTCCAAAAGAAACAAAAAGAAATTGAAGGATAATGCTTTCCAGATTAAGAGAGGAAGATTTTCATATTCTAGATATTTGTTGTCTGTGTTTATTATAGCTTTCACCATAAGGAAGCATATGTATGCATAAAACTTACACTGCTTTCTTTCTAAGACTAGTTCCTTCTCAATTAACAACACATGTGTGTCCAGCGCCACAGCTCAATAGGCTAATCCTCCACCTGCGGTGCCGGCACACTGGGTTCTAGTCCCAGTTGTCCCTCTTCCAGGCCAGCTCTCTGCTGTGGCCGGGGGGTGGGGGTGGGGTGCAGTGGAGGATGGCCCAGGTACTTGGGCCCTGCATCCCATGGGAGACCAGGAGAAGCACCTGGCTACTGGCTTTGGATCAGCGCTGTGTGCCGGCTGCTGCGCGCCGGCTGCACGCGCCAGCTGCGGCGGCCATCGGAGGGTGAACCAATGGCAAATGAAGACCTTTCTCTCTGTCTCTCTCTCACTGTCCACTCTGCCTGTCAAAAAACAAAAACAAACAAAAAAATGTGACTATTGAACTCATAATTACACAATAAGTATAAATCATATAAGATATGGGAAAATAGAGTTTGGTATGATAGCACCTTAGTTTTACTAGGATTCTTAAGAATTGGGATGTTAAAATCATATTTTGTTACTGGTTATTTTACATAAAGATATTGTAAATTTGGCTAAAAGGAGGTTAGAGAGTTTTATTTCTGGAAATTCAGAAATTTAGGTTGAAGGACAATAATGGGCTTCTACCTACAATGGAAGCTGATGATTCTCATAAAACTAAGTAGGGAATGCTGTTTTGAGTCTTTCCTTTGGATTCATTACCTAATTTTTGCTCTAGTTGTGTGTTTTAGGGGAGTGAACTAAATTTCAGCTAGATTTAGAAAGAAATTTGGTTATTATATAATGTTAAATGATAGGTGCTCAGATGTTTATGTGCAATGGTAATATTCAATGCCTCATTTTAAATTTTGGATCTGCTTGTCATTTAAAATATTTACATAATTCTTAACAATGAGAAAATGAGAAATCCATTAATATGTTTATAAATACTTATATATGTCACTATAGTATTAACTAATGTTAAGGCAGCTAGGTAGATATTAGCCTGTATGTGTAGGATGGGCCAAAGGAAATAAATTTATATGTAATGGAATGAGGAAACAAGTCTTGAAAGCATGGCTCCGCCTCTTATCTATCTCCTCTAGCCTAAGGTGTCCTTATCTGTCCTTTATCAAAAGGAATTCACTGAGCTGAGGGAGTGATACAGCTGGTCATACAAGGTTATAAATACTGGTCCGAAGGAGTAATTTTCTTCCCCAATAGGTAAGAACTTTGATGGCCAGTATTGCTCAGAGGGGTTTATTTGGGAAATTACACATCCAAAAATCCCCCACTCAAACTTTTCCAGAGGAGGGGAGAAGAAACAGAGGATGGACAAGGGCCCCATACCCACATCCATAACCCCCTACCCCCGTCTGAATGCAGACTGAGCTTTCAGCCCTTTACTGAGACACCTGCCTGGTCTATCAGGTGTAGGAATGGTAATCATTAATCTGCCACATACTTTGTCATCGATGGAAAAAGTTCTCAGGGTTCAAATCAGCAGTTACATTAAGACACTTGGTTTTTCTGATCCCTTTTTTCAAAATTCTGAGCTGTGGTCCTCAAGGTCTGTCACCAGAATTTTCTAGTTAGTTGATTTAACCTTAATTGTGGAAATTGAATTTTGTGAATAAACATAACATTTGAAGATATTATTTTACATCAGTAAATAGGGTGATAAGCAAATACAGAATTGTTCTAATGAGTCTGAATTATTTTAAATAAAATTAAAGCTTGATTGTCTTACGTTCACCTTATTTTTTCCAAAATCTGAACTCCCATTGTTGTTGGGCTAACTTAAGCCAAAATTTAACATTTCAAGTTCTTGCTGTTAGAGAATTCTAAGCATTGGCATACCATTCGTTTCCAGGGAGCAGGCCAGAGGCTGCAAGTGAGAGGGTACACAGGCGGGCGAGAGAGCGAAGGCAAAAGATCAGGCAGGAGAGGGGCGGGCCCAGTGCTCTCCAGGCCTCTTAGTCACTTCCAAAAGGGCGTGGTTACATAGTCTGATTGACAGGTGGGTGGATACAGGTGAGAGTGCATGGGAGCAAGGAGGGGTGTGTGGCCTCCAGCTCATGAACCTAATCTAACTCCTTGATCAGTCCCATATCACCATTTCACTTTTTCACTCTTTCTCTGACAGGCTTTAATCCGGTGTGAGCAGTTGAAGAATGAGCTGCAGAGGCAGACAGATCGCCTTGAAAAAGAACTTGCATCTCAGCAAGAGAAAAGGGCCTTAGAGAAAGAAAGGATGAAAAAAGAAATAACAAAGGAGAGGCAGGACTGGGAATCAAAGGTATTTAAAAACTCCTATTGTCCAACTTGCAGAAGAAATGTTGTGGTGTTAACACTTACATAGGCAGTGGTTTTGAATGAACTTAAATAGTAAAATCTTTCTAAGTATCCAAATTTCTTACTTAATTTTTTTTTTTAATTTGACAGAGTTAGTGAAAGAGAGAGATAGATAGAGAAAGGTCTTCCTTCCATTGGTTCACCCCCTAAATGGCCACTATGGCCGGAGCTACACCCATCCGAAGCCAGGAGCCAGATGCTTTCTCCTGGTCTCCCATGTGGGTGCAGGCGCCCAAGCACCTGGGCCTTCCTCCACTGCCTTCCCAGGCCACAGCAGAGAGCTGGACTGGAAGAGGAGCAACCGGGACTAGAACCCGGCGCCCACATGGGTTGCTGGCGCCGCAGGTAGAGGATTAACCAAGTGAGCCATGGCGCCGATCCCTCTTACTTAAATTTGTAAATGTTCTATTTTTCCATGTATTTCTCAAGGAAGCCTATTCTCTGGCCTCTTAAAATAATCAATTTCCATAATATGAAATTGTGAGTTGACTTTAATCCTGCCATCATTCTATTGGATTTCCTCTCATATTTGCCAGAGAAGAGCACATGTTCTGAAGATACCCAGCTTTTATTTTAACCTTCACTAAATCAACAGAGACGATTCTCCCACTCTATTCCCTACCCATAAATTAAATATGCTGCAGATAAAACACTTGTACAAAACTGAGTAACTAGGAAAGAGTGATTACACACAGTAAGTGAAATCAGTTCTGACAAATCATGATAAATAATGACCATACTCAGCTAAATAATTGGAAGAAAGAAATTAAGGGCAAAAGGAACAGATAACATGAAATGTGCACTGTTTGAAAAACAATAACTGGGGACTGGTGCTGTGGCGCAGTGGGTTGATGCCTTGGCCTGAAGCGCCGGCATCCCATATTGGTGGCGGTTCAAGACCCAGCTGCTCCACTTCAATCCAGCTCTCTGCTATGGCCTGGGAAAGCAGTAGAAGTTGGCCCATGTCCTTGGGCCCCTGCACCCGTGTGGGAGACCCGGAAGAAGCTCCTGGCTCCTGGCTTTGGATCAGCACAACTCCGGCCATTGCGGCCAATTGGGGAGTGAACCATCAGATGGAAGACCTATCCCTCTCTCTCTCTCTTTCTCTTTCTCTCACTCCATCTCCATCTCTATCTCCATCTTCTCCCTGTAACTCTGACTTGCAAATAAATAAATAAATCTTTGGAAAAAAAAGAACAATGTACAGATAAGAGAGCAAGACAAAGAGGAGACAGAACACGGACTCACAGCTAGAACAGGCTTATTCACTGAGAGGGGCTCACTCCCAATGAACACACAGCAGACAGAGGCCCTGCTCACACAACTAGTGGCTTATATAGTATAGGTAGCTGAGAGGGTTTGGGAGGGTCTGGGCTAGGGCTAAGCTTTGGAGATGGTGGGAAGAGCTTGGGCTAGTGGCTGATCCCTCAAGAAAGTAGTGTGGCTTGGGAGAGTTTGAACTATGCCTGAACTCTTAAGATAATGGGGAGGACTTGGATTAATAGCTGGACTCCTAAGACAGTGGTGTGGCCAATGGTAGAGGCAGGACAGGGCTGAGGCAGCTGAAGGAGAACACAGGGAGTTGGAGGCCTGCTTCCATCATACAAGTGAGAGGCCAAAATAGATCTAAAGCTTTTGTCCTTGCTCCGTTGGTAAAAAACTAGAATGGAACCTAGGTTTAAAATTGCTACAGGAATGTGAAATTGGGCAAGAGGTGGTCCATGAGGAAACCAAAACAACTGTGAAACGTTAAAAAAAATAAAAGATTTATAACTTGTATCCTTGCTGTGGCATTGTTATAATTAACTCATCTGTGTGATAATTAACTCATCTGGCAAGTGTCAACAAGTAGCTGCTTGTGCAAGGCAGTATGTAATCCTAAGGATATAGAAAGAGAAAAGTGTATGAGTAAACTGAGGCATTTATAATTAACTCCCTTGTTATCTTCTATTATGAAAAATTGTCAAAATCCTACTATCGGTATAACAACTTACTTTGTATGCCCTGGATTAGTGGTGTCAGCTGGTGAAAATCCCAAAATGGATGGCCCTGCTCAGGGTCTTCAATATCCACAATTCTCCAGGGCTTCCTAGCAGCCTTCCCATGCATTCCTCTCTCTCCCATTCATTTAGAATTCAGGACTCGAAATGTGATAGGAACAATGCAATTCCTTCATGAAGCATACAGACTGGATGGGAAAGTAGACATTAAATATTTTCACAGATGAGTTTTTAATTATCTTGGTGATAAAGCCGTAAAGTTTCAGTATAACATGCTGAGGAACCCAATCTAGTCTAGGTAGTCATGAAAGATTTTCTTAAGAAAGATTTGGAGGCCAATGTTGTTTACAGCAAGTATAGCTGCCTATGACACCGGCATCCCATGTGAGTTCTAGTTGGAGTCCATTTCCAATCTAGCCCCCTGATAATGGACCTGCGAGAGCAGCAGATGGCCCAAAGACTTGCACTCCAGCCAACCCTGTGGGAAACCTGGATGGAGTTCAGGCTCCTGGCCTCAGACCAGCCCTGGCCTTTGCAGCCATTTGGGGAGTGAACTTTCAATGGAAGATCTCTGTCTCTCTATCTCTCCCTCTCTCAGTACTCTCCTTCTAAAATAAATCTATTTTTTAAAAAACGGCGAGTTTGAAAATGAGACTTGAAACAGTTGAGAAGGAATGGTCAGCTAAAGGGTTGGGGGAAAGAGAATTTCAGTCTGGGAAAACAACATGCCCAAGACTCTGAAGATGGAAAACATGGTACTTTCTAGGAATTTAGACAAGATTCAAGACCTGAGGCAGACAATACTGGGGGATACCTTTGAAGAACTATGTAGGGACCAAATCGCAAATGGCCTGAAAATTTCTGTGCATTTTTTAAGTTTATTGAAAAAGTGAGAAAGCCACTTGATTGACTTTAAATTGGACAGTGTCATGATGCCATTTATGTATTTGAGAAAAATCATATTATCAGCAGATTGGAAGAAACATAAGAATAGATGCTTGGAGTCCAGCATTTTGGCACAGCAGGTTAAAGGCCTGGTCTGCAGCACTGGCATCCCATATGAGCACTGGGTTGAGTCCTGGTGTCACAGATGAAATGGCAGTGGAGAAAATATTACCCCAGTTCTTTGTCTCACATGAAAGAAGAATTTCCAAGTGGACAAGCAGAGAGATTTAAAAGCCAGATTTATTAGCGTCAGAGACCTCCAGCCAGAGTGGCATGGATTGGGGGGGCTCCAAGAGAGGAAAAACCCAAAGGGGTTGGTGGTACTAGGAATTTTAAGCATAATTTTGGGGAAGAGAAAAAAAAGAACTTAGCAGCTTGACGTTCAGTTACAAGGTGGGGACAAGACCCATCAAAAAACCTGATCTGCAATCTTTTTTTGCCCTGTCTTGCTCATAAAACAAAAAAGCCATCCAGAAGGGTAGGTAACTTGTTTTCACAATAAATTGTGAGCTCAGGAGGATGGAACTGTCATTCCCTTGCTATTCTTATGATAAAATTAGAAGCTTCCAAGGAGTGAGCAGGCAGGCACTTTTGACCTTGCTAAAGATAACTTTTGGGGAAAGCAAGCATTTTGCACCCTAAATTTCTACTGGAGCCAACCTGACTGCCTATTAGCCCATCTGACTCCTCACACTTGGCTGCTCCACTTCCAATCTGGCTCCCTGCTAATATGCCTGGGAAAACAACAGAGGATGGCCCAAGTCCTTGGTTCCCTGCACCCATGTGGGAGACCCGGAAGAAGTTCTTGGCTCCTGTCTTTGAATCGGCTCAACTCCGACCATTGCATACATTTTTGAAGTGAACCAGCAGATGGAAGACCTTTCTCTCTGCTTCAACCTGTCTCTGTAACTCTGTCTTTCAAATAAATAAGAAATGAATCTTAAAAAACGTTTCTTTAAAAAAAAAATAGATGCCTGAAGATGAAGTGAGTTAATTTTAGTAGTCCGAATAAGAAGTGATGATTCCTTAGACCCATTTTTCTTTTTTTTAATTGTTTTTAAAATTTGTATGTATGTATTTGAATGACAGAGTTGTTAATGAAATGGTGCCATCTTATCTGAGGCGCCATCTTGTACAATAAGTTCAGCCTCTCCAGAATCCAACCTGGCTAACTAGGAGTCAGGTGACCAAATGGCCCAGCCACAAGGGTCAACTGCACCCCCACTCTAATGGGATTCGCTGCTCCTACCTCCTCATCACAGCACAGACTCTCTTTTCACTCTCTGCCTCCAGCCTGTCAGGTTTCCACATCCCCCTGCCATAAACCTTTTCCCTTATTTGGGCATTTGGTGTATTTTGTGATGGCTTTTCAAGAGTGGCAATAAAACAGAGGAAGAGGTAGAGATATCTTCCATCTGCTGGTTCACTCCCCAAATGGCTGCAACAGCCAGGGCTGAGCCAGGCCAGAGCCAGGCCAAAGCCAGGCGTCAGGAACTCCATTTGGGTGGCAGGGGCCCAAGTATTCAGGCCATCATCTGCCTTCCCAGTCACATTAGCAGGGAGTTAGATCAATATTGGAGCAGCCGTGACTTGAACCCACACTTTGATACGTGTCACAAGCAGCAGCTTAACCGACTGTACCACTTTTCAGCCCCTTAAATTCGTTTTTCAAGAACTGTTTCAAATCACTTTTATTCTCTTCAAATTCTTCTCCAAAACACTTTGCCCCTCATTTTCAGCAAAGAACCTTAAAAAGAAAATTTTTATTTGAAAGGCAGAGTTACATAGAGAGAGAGGGAGAAAGTGATATTGGATCTGTTGATCCACTCCCCATTGATCCACTCAATGGCTGGGGTTGGGCCAATCCAAAGCAGGGAGCCAGGAGCTTCTTCTGGGTCTCCCACCTGAAAGCAGAGGCCCAAGCACTTGGGCCATCTTCTCCTGTTTTCCTAGTCACTTTAGCAGGGAGCTGGATTGGGAGTTGAGCAGCCTCAATTCA